GCCGGATGCCGCGAAGGTGGCCAGCATTCATGACTGGCCGCGTCCTCAGTCTGTGACTGAGATGAGGTCCTTCTTAGGGCTGACAGGCTACTACCGCAATTTTGTTCAGAATTACAGCATAGTGGCCGCCCCTTTGACGGACCTGAATCGCCTTGACACCCAATGGCAGTGGACAGACAGGTGTGAGGCTGCTTTCAGACAATTGAAGCATGCGTTGACACACCATGAGGTCTTGAAACTTCCTGATCCTGACAAACCTTTCGTAGTAACTACGGATGCTAGCCAATATGGCATAGGCGCCATACTTGCGCAGCAGGAGGGGGAAAAGTTGAGGCCGGTAGAGTACATGTCCAAGAAGATGCACTCTCAAAAGCTGGCTAAGTCCACCTATGAGAAGGAGCTCTACGTGATCTACAAAGCGCTCACCCACTGGAGGCACTACCTCCTTGGTCGCTTCTTCTATGTCAGGACTGATCATCATACCCTGAGATGGATGAAGACTCAACCGGTACTCTCCGACGCTCTGAAGCGTTGGATCGAAGTCATTGAGCAGTATGACTTCGAACCCCAGTACATCAAGGGGGAGTACAACAAAGTTGCTAATGCGCTGTTGCGTAGACCAGACTTTCTCGGTGCGCTGGTCACCGAATTTGGGCTTGAGGACAATGTTACTCAGTCTTTGGTGGATGCCTATCGCGAGGACCTGTTTATGGCCGAGATTATACGCAGACTCGAGGCGAAAGACAAAGAGACTTCTGCCGAGTTTGAGTTGGTCAACGGCCTGCTGGTCCTTGAGAAGGCCAGGAATAAGCGTCTATGTGTTCCTAATAGAGAGTCTTTGCGTAGTTTATATCTAGGTGAGTGTCATGATGCCACCGGACATTTTGGTTTCAAGAAGACTGCAGCTAATCTGTTGCAGCGGTTTTGGTGGCCCACAATGATGAGATGCCAAACTGTATGTCGAGACTTGTCAAGTTTGTCAACGTGACAAGCCCCGGACACAGGCTCCTCTTGGGTTGCTCAAACCCCTTCCGATTTCGGAAAGGCCTGGTGAAAGCCTGTCCATGGACTTCATGGATATGCTAGTCACCAGCAAGAGTGGCATGAGGTACATCTACGTCATTGTGGATAGATTTAGTAAGTATGATAGGTTAGTGGCCATGCCGGAAACAGCAAAGACCGAGTACGTTATCAAGCTATTTAAGGAAAACTGGGTTAGAGACTTTGGCCTGCCGAAGTCTATAATCAGCGACAGGCATGTCCGATTCACCAGTGAATTGTGGAAGGCCGCTGCTGCAGAACAACGAACGCAGCTGCAGATGACATTTGGAAATCATCCGGAGGCAAATGGACAGGCAGAGCAGATGAAACGCGCTGTTCAACACTTGTCGAGGCATTACATTAAGCCCAATCAAGTGGACTGGGATGAGAAGCTTGCTCTCATCGCCAGCCTGTATAACAACGCAGTTCATAGTGCCACGGGAGTAAGTCCAAGTAGCCTACTTCTAACGTTCAAACCCAGACTACCCCTTGACTTTCTGCTACCTGAGAACCAGTCTACTGCTGCTCCAGGCACTTTGGAATTCGCTTATAGATATGAGAATCATATGCAGCACGCAGTAGCGCACATGCACAAAGCACAGGCGGCGATGATCGAATCTGAGAACAAGCACCGCCGCCCATCTATATTTCCGGTAGGGGACAGGGTCTGGGTCAAGGCTTCTGAACTGGGACAGGAGCAGTTATTTCCCGAAAGCTCATGCCACAGTACTTTGGACCGCGGGAGGTTTTAGATATAGTTGGGGATGAACCAGACGGACCTTCATATGTTATTCGGATTCCCGAACATCTTCGCACTTACCCTGTTTTTCACGCTTCTAAGCTTGCACCTTTCAAAGAAACTGACCCGTTCCCTTCGCGGCGCTCAATGCTGCCCCCAACCATGGATGGAGAGGTCGACATTGATGAAATTGTGGATCACAGAGAAATGCCAGTTCCAAGACCAACCGGCAGGGGACATCCTCCAAAACCGAAGCTGCAGTACGGAGTTCGGTTCAGACATCGCACTGATCCAAAGGAGGATAGGTGGTTCACAGGGGAGGAACTGATGCAAACCGCTCCACAGGTTGTCACTCACTATGAGAAGTCTCTGCAAAAAGGAAAGCGCCAGATTATCGAAGATTGAACTTCTCAGAGGACTAGCGAAGTATGGAGGAGGGAATGCGAGGCATAGGCCTCGATAAGCCCTACTGGGCCCCTACTTGCGACTGGTCGGCCGCCCTAAGTGAAGGCAGGCCCAACAGACGACAAGAGGCCTATTTTTGACTACTTCGCAGCTGGGGAAAATTCAGGCAGTTGCGCAGCGCCAGTTGGTTGAAGGCACCCAGGCCCTGGCCTCCTTTATCGACTGTATCTAAGTCAGGTCCTGGGCGAGATACGCAGCATAGGCCCAACTCAGACAGCGGGCAGTTGGGCCCGGGTAACTGTCGGTGGCCCTGGGCCTGATTCGTTTGGTCTGAGGCTCAGCCTCCCTGGGCCTACCGGAAGTTTCTGGGCAGGGACCCAGCACAGCCAGGCTGCACGCAAGCAGGCTGGCCATTTCCATTTAGGAAAGGGCCAGCCTACGCATTCGGCATTCGGGCACTGGCTGCTTTGTGCACAAGCGCTGCTGCGCTATCGCCTGCCAGGCTCACGCGCTCACGGGCAAACTGGAAGGAGCAGGCAGCCATAGCCGAGCTGCGCTGCTGTATGCTG